CTCTATAGACAGGTGTCAGTTCTATAGAGGTGTTCCCCTAACGCAGTTTTTAATGCATGAGAATGCAAACAGACATGCATGTACTAACTTTATTACAGGTGTGAACCTATTGTAATAATTAATAATTGTATACATAGTAAATATTGTGCAGATAGAGATTAACAAACCACGCGAGATTCACAAGAGCATGCATTAGCGTTACCTTTCCTTCTTCTCTGTCGAAACTTCACCCATTTCTGAGAATCAATTAGGAAATTATAACCATAAACGCAGACGTACGCCATTCTAAATCACACTATTTGTAGGTACCATAGGTTAGGAATCACTACCATATATAGATTTACCATATATAGGTTTGTTAGCACTAGTAAATGCTAGTATAGGTTTCACAACGAGTACACAAAATACTCCCACGTCCTGCTGGGGTCTGTCATAGGTAATTAACATGGATACGATCCACCGTAGAAAATATCGAGCAACCGTTGCTCTCGACGCTTGCTTGCATGAAGGATGGCACTTTGCAGCACGCCTTTTTCCAGGCTTTCTGCGTCACAGTGTACGTTCTCCACGCCCTGCGACAATCACGCACCGATCACAAATCGCGACTCGTGCCTCTCGACTGTCGTCGCTATGCGTGCGTGAACGAGAGACCAGTACATGGCGAATAACATATATGAAGTCACGCACAAAAATACATCTAAATGCTGCTTCTTATAGTCTCTAACTATCGGCTACCATGATACCATGTGATAACATCAGGACTCCGTGTAATCTATAGACTTTATTATACATTATATACCATTATACACTATATATATATTGTCTATATTTACACTCCTGATTACGTGACAGAAGCGACTACATGCGTTCGTAATGTAATGTCGCTGTTGTAATCACATCCGAACCTCGGATTATTTGTTATCTAGATCGTAAATTAAATGCTCACCTAAATGTTCTGCTTAAGTACAACTTGTTGAGGAATGTGTATGCCAGTACGAGCATCTCCGGTGTGGGCTGAAAAATCGCCGGTTAGTTAACTACTCGACCAGCAAAACTACACAAATCTTTAACAATGAACTTTAATCAACTGTAAATTATAAAAACGTGCTGAAGGATGTAGTATCCCTCAGCACGTTTTTTAATTTACCATAATGTAAATATATTATATTAGATAACAGAGGTATAACCATGCATGCTCACCACATCTTCGTCATCGGCGATTGTTACTTGTTTTTTCGTGGCACTGCGCTTGATGTCTTCGGCTATGAAGTAATCGGGCGACACATGCGTGGTGTGAGTGAGCAGTAAATGTTGGAGGCAGTCACTCACGAATCGTTCGGGGTCCGGCGGACACATGACCAGCAGAGCTGTCAGCAAGCTCTGAAGAATACGAAATTGTGTCAACTTGAGATCAACATTAAGTGAGAGAGGGCCTTCCTGCCAGCAGAACCGTGACATGAGTCATGACGCGTATGTAGTATTTATAGGTTTCAGATGGCCATGTTATTATTATCGTCTGCTAAGCAGTAATAGCAATGGCGTCAGTGCGCAAACAATTATACTAATACTATAGTTAACGTACATTTAGATAAGCTTACCTCAAACAATCCCGGAACATCGTGTTTCTCAAAGTAGCACTTTATTTTTGGATCACTCCATCTCAACGACGGTGCCATAATCAATGAATTAATAATTCAGGCAGACCACGATTTACTTTGCAGTGTTATCCACGTCACCAACACCTATCTATGAAGAAGCGCGTTCATATGTTACGGCATATAGACACTATAACAATATATTGACATCACAAATACTTAATAAGGACGGTATCTATGAAAAAATTTAATTTGTTTACAGTAAAGAAGTTGATGGTAAAATCTAATTACGATGCGCGATACACGCGTATTAGTAATGCCATCTAGCGACACAACTTGAAAGAAAGCGACACGGCTTAAACGATAACCCATAGATATAAAATAAAAAATACTATAAAAATTTACATTTAATCATATAATTTTTATCTATAAGTTTAAAACAATTTATTTAAAACTAAAAATAGACTATTGAACTATTGAGTAAGTCTATTACAAACATTGACTAACAACAAGTGAACGACCTTGAAGCTTACCTTCGACCTTGAGCTCGGTGAGACGGGGCATGGCACCGAGCGTGCACAATGACGACTCCGTCACTCCCGGCGTCCGCTGCAGCGACAGACTCCCCACCAGGTGGCAGCTCCGCGTGAACGCCTGCGAGGGAGTCGTCGTCAATTTAACTTATAATCTTAATTATAATTAATTAGCTTAGTTGCTGTCGTCGGTTTAGGAACGAGTATCGCTGCGTACGATTCTAGCGGTTGATTCGTCGTTAGGTCAATGTGAGCGTGATCATTGCTTTCGACATGTGCCATCTTCTGAGAATCCCTTTAAGTTTAGCTTTTTTGTTTCTATCATTCCGTATTGGAATTATCTCCCTTCCTCCTCTAGTAAATTGCAAATTTGAGGCTTTTTCTACTGCGATCCGCAATGTTGTTCTAAATATCTGATCAACTTTGTCTCTTTCCGTCTTTGATGTAGTCCATTGGACTTTGAAGACCATTATTCACGAGGTTAAGAGGTTACGTGTGCTTGTGATGTCTACTGATACAGCCACACCCGTGATAGTAGCAGCTTACACCACTCAGCAGTAGTTTAACTTTACATCACTCACCAGTAACGCTTGGTCACCGAGTCGTGCATGGTCGTTCAGCACCACCGACTCCAGGCACTTGCTGGACCTCGCAATCGTGGCTAGTCCCTTTGCCGTCACCTGCGACAAAAGCGAATGTCGAGTTCAAAGGTCAGCGCAGCCCTCGATGGTGGGAGAGCCACAGTGAAAGAAATAAGTTACCTACTGGTAGGTTTATTTGTTTTTTAGATATTTTTTTTAGGTACGTAGGTTTATTTGTTGGCGAGCAAGACCTCAAACTCACTTTTTGGATGATGAAGCTCCGATTTTACACAGATGATGACTTCTTAACCAGTCATTATAATAAGTCTATATCACGAACAAGCTTAAGTGTTGTCAAAGCGGCTCAAATCTTTGCCGTAACTGCGTCAGTGCATGGAATACCCCAGTCCTGTAACTTAAATCTAAATGGACATGCCTTAGATATTTTGCTTCTTCGTTCACTGCCATCATCACGCAGTTGTGCGTTGTGCAGCCGCGAATCGCTCACGCGTTCACGACTACTTACATTGTTTAGTTACCGTTCGATTGCAAACTCAGGGGAGATAGATTCGTACCTTCCCGCACCCGGACAGGTCTACGTGTTTAAGTTAGTTAAAGTTAAATCCTTCCCGCATCTATGTGGAACATAGGTGCATAGGGCGGTGCCTATAGTCAGGGGGCAGATATCCAAAATAAGGATGAGCCTAAACTTTTTGGGTAGAGGCTC